CACACATCAGCTGCCGGGAGAGAGCAGGGTGGTGATGATGACACCGTTGCAAATGCAATGATTGGCTGGGTGGGCGGATGCCCTGCTCACGCTGTCTCACTGCACGCTCTAACTACTACTATAAACACAAGACAAGGGACAATGGCGACGAGCAGGGAAAATCAAAGGTTTAGCGTTTTAAACTGGAAGTAAATTACCAAATGGTTCTAAAATACTGTATATAGTGTTTTTATTCTTCATTCAGTTATTATAAACATCTTTGACGTTTATAGAAGATGTTATGAATGTTAAGGGATAATGCCCCAGGAGGCGTCGGGACATTCTTAAGGCCTCCGCGTCGTCCATGTTCCATTAATCCTGTGATTATGGGACCACCTTGTCGGGCATTATCCCGCCATATACCATCGTCACTTGCAAAGGAAATAAATTAAGCCATTAATTTATATTTTCATGCGTTTTTAACAATCAAAATATAAAGTTTTTCACAGCCATAATTTAGTTTCCCTGAGGGTAACGCCTGAGATGTTTTGGACTAATACCTTGAACAATCACTTACCCTCCCGTAAGGTTCTTACTGCAACACAGAAGTTCACTCCTCCAGTAAATAGGACGACCTTAGATACACTTGGCAACGGGAAGATGTTCTAGTCCACTCAGCATGAGCCAGTGAGCTAACGTATATTGGTAATAACAGTAAATATAATATGACAGTATGTTTAACAACAAAGACTAGCTAGCTAACCAAGCCCATTCATTGTCCCAAATCAATTTTTATCAAGATTTTCACGAACAACATGATTTTCGGGGCCGTGTGTAACGTTACTGTCGGCCACGCATGAAGCAGCGAGTTGAAAAGCGAACATCACCTGATGTGATACCAATGTATCAGTAAGTTAGAGGGAAGGTACTTCTTGCAGCTTTGAGTGTTACAGTTGCCATCCCTGTGAAGTTCAGATGATAAGGCACTGAAGGGACTGGATATTAGTTGTTGCGGTGTTGCAATAAATTGTAAACAGAGGCTTTTACTGTGTTCCCGTATGCTTAATGTACTCATTTTATAGGACAGGCTGATACGCCAGCTTAGCGCATTAATTTAGAACGATGAACAGACAATTTGACTGGAACTACTAGTAGGTGTCCATATACAGGGGATTAATGGACACCCTGCAGCCAATCAGAATCGGAGGTATTCCCCAGACCATGGGTATAAAATAGCATTATAGAAAAAAAAAATAACGTCACAGTTACTTTGCTGAGTAAAAACTTAAAATTTACTTTTTACAATGTGGGCAACTGAGTTACTAACTCTTTTAATTACTTTGGGAGAAGTAATTTGTAACTATAACTAATTACTTTTTTTAAAAGTAAGATGCCCAACACTGAAGATACGCTGCACTTAACTGTAGTTGTAGGACTGTTAAATTGTTATGTTGGTAAGACCTATAATCCCTTTTTTTGCAGTATTTCCATCTGGCTGCAAGGGATGAAGTGGGCCGTCTGAGCAACTCTTACGTGCAGCCCTACTCCTGCTATGAACTGGCCTGTGTGTTGCTGAACACCCCAGAGGCAAGTTTTGTGTGTGTGTGTGTGTGTGTGTGTGTGATAGACCTTGTCTGAGATGGTGGAGAAGTCACACAGTCTAATATTTTATTGTCTTTTTTTTTTCAGTCTGTAGCGAAGGGCAGAATGCTAATGCTTCAGGCCAAGGTACAGTAGGTTTCTTTATTGCATGGCTTTTTACTGGTTTTCATTAATTTAGTGACTGTTCATAAACTTTATTAGTGGGTAGCAAGTTCCATGACTAGTTCTTCTTTAACAGGTTTCATTATTGGTTTACCCCTGAGACCAAAACATTGCCTCATTAAATGTATTTAGAGCAAGTAGTAGAGTGTCCTAGTAGAGAGGACTTTGCCTTATTTCTGCCTTCAGTTAAAGGTCTTGTAAATAACTTAGGATGTGCTCTGACAGATCAATACACTCACTGCCTGATCAAGTGATAGCATACCCAATAAAAGAGCAGCAAGCCCACTGCCAGTGTCAGTGAACAGAGTACAGTGGGTCGGCTGGGCACTGAACTAGAGGGGGTTGGTGGTGTCGCGGATGTAGCCATGTAAGAAGCTGGCTGAAGCTGTAGCAGGTTCCTGTCTTCGTGGAGTGGCCGTGAATGGGGCTTTGTCTCTTCTCAGGGAGAAGGAGACTTCATACTGCACCTTGTTGGTTTAGGTCAGTGGTTCCCAACCTTTTTCCTAAAGGGACCCCTTTTCTATCATTTAGTAAACTGGCAACCCCTGACTTATTTGTGTGACATATTTGACATATTTGATGGATATTTCATATTATATTCAAATTCAGTTTTTTTGTTGTCCCTGGCACTTGGGCGTTGTTCTATTATTAGATTAACTTAACTCTACATTTACTTACACACCCCTTAAAATCAAGAAGGCCCCCCGTGAAGCTTGGGCGACTCCTAGTCCAGACCCCCAGGTTGGGAACCTTTGGTTTAGGTGTTAGGTGTATTTGCTTTGTCTGTTCTCAGCATGGAGTCATGGCTTCATGTCATTTACACCGAGCTGATAGTTCTTTGTCCCAGAATATCAGAGATTGTCTAGTTACAACATGTTCCAGATGTGGTGAATGCAGTTCCAAAAGGTTCCATCAGTTTTTGTTCTGGCACCTGCATTGCCTGAGGTGCACTGGGTGCAGCCTCACCCACCTGAATTTTAACTGGAGACGTCTGGTGCAAGCAGCATCGACTTTGTTAGTGGATGGACAGCTGACAGTGACGGAGCCTAGAGCTCAGGCTCTCTGCTGTTGCTTTAACAGCCAACTACTCTGCATGCCCGAGCAGATACAGCAGTGTCTGACAGCAGCACAGGAGGAGCCAAGCAGCAGGCTCTCTGCTCTTTTAATGGGTATGCTGCTACTTGATTGGGCAGCGAGTGCATTGATCAGCCTGAGAGTGATGACTGCAAAGCTTGTTAGAGGGGAGAGCACGAGCAAAATAAATGTTATTCACAATTTTGTCTGTTTTCATGGATTATGCAGGAGGACTATGCCGGATATGACTTTGAGAACAGGCTCCATGTTCGTATTCATTCAGCTCTTGCCTCTGTGAGGGCTGAAGCCCAGCCTTGATATTTTATCTGCACTTCAGAAAGAACTGAAAGACAGAGAGGTCTTTTGACAAAAGCCACACCACCATTCTGCCACTAATGTTACTGTTTTATTTGTTGTTTTATTTATTGTTTTCATGTTCTGAGCCAATGTGTGCAATATATATTGTGTTTTATGGTAGCACAGTTACAAGAGGGGTTTTATTTGTGTTACTATATTAGAGAACAAATTAGGATTTTATTGTTTACATGGTTAATTTCAAAATTAGATGCCAGTTAAATCAGATGAAAATCTAGAAATTAATTTTAAAAAGCATCACTCATATTGCTTCCACTGATGGTTTTCCCTGTGATTTGAAGTCAAATTGAATCATGGCACATATCCATTATTATTTGACCAAGCAATTAAAGCGAATGAGAAGTGGATATTCTTACCGTCTGTGTTGGTTGCTGACTTTGACATTTGTGCTGTAAAGGCTTGCTAATCCATAGGCATGAGTACAAAGCAGTTTTTTTAGCGTTGTCCCTTTTTTAAGCAGAAATGTTTTTATTGGTGTAAATATGTCTTGCGCAAAAGTTTTAATAGATGTGCCAACATCGTGTTGTGCCACTGTTGTGTGGCATAAGTGCACAATGCTACTATTGGCTGTATACTGGCTCTCCTTTTATATTGTTTGTTTTAAGATAATAAAATGAATATTGTAAAATTAAATCTTGTTTTATCCACTATATTTGATTATAATGAGGTGATTATATGGGAGTGGGGCACCAAGATGTACATGATAAATACATATACTGCATTGTGCAACAAATGATTTAAAAGCTCACAAATAACACTACTGATAACTCTTTTAATCATTCCAACAATTTAAAACAAATACACAGTGGGTACTTACATGAGCAGCAGAGAATATCGATTGCATTAGTCTAACCTCAATTATATAAATGGCAAGGACAAAATATTAACACCTTAGTATACTGCAATACAGCTCAACTGCACCACAAACTACAGCCTCTAAAAGCATCATAATGGTGAATCAATGCCTCTAAAACAGTAACATTATAACCTTCATTAAGGTAGGATTTATTGCAGGACTTAGCTAGGTGCACCTTATAACTTCCAACTGTATGTATTTTACAATGGCAAAACAAAAATTATTGATATGAACAGGTCAAACTACTGCTGGGAATTTTAGATTCTTCCCCTAGGGATCCATGGATGAATTGTGAAAAAGAACAGTCTGCATAATTTTGGAGGTAAATCAGTAAAATAGGAAGACCAAGACAAATTTCACAAAGAGTCGCTGGGGGCATGTAAGTAGGACATGGCCCCTGGTAGAGAAGGCAGTGGGGTAGACAGCATCTAGTAAAATATATTAATTTTTAATTCCACTTGTAATACCACAATTCAGCAAACACCCACCTAATGCACATATTTCCTTAAAAATTAAAGCAACTCTCACAAAACCAAAAAAAGTTCAGTTAACATTAAGCTTTTATTCAGCAACAATAGAAATTCTGTTTTGATACCCAAAAGACTGATAACAGAAAAAACAAACATTTAGCAGCCACCCACAACATGAGAAAATTACTGCTTGATTGTGAAGGAGGTAAGGCTTGCATAGTTAGTGATGCACATGCATTTATTGTGATGTTAGATTACAATTAGATCAATAGCACTAGGAATATAGCTAATTATACTTTAACTATGGCAAGACCTTTACGCACACGCACACCCAAATCTATAAGTGCAGAGCCAGTGTCCCTGCGTTAGTATAGTTAGAAGAAAAAAAAAGTGCTACTGTATCTACAGAGTCAAGTAGACTAGTGGCTTAGTCTCTATACATATCTATACAGTACATAGTTAAGGGCTGAATGATGTTTTAAAAAATAAGTCTTTTTGTTGTAGTGCTGGCCATGATTCTTGTTGGATGTGGTAACATTTTACTTGCCATCTTCATAGTCATCTCTGCAGAGAAATAAGGGATGCAGAGAAACAGCAAGAATGAGATTTACTATCAATTGCAAACAAGCTGATTATGAACACATCCAGTGTAAACACTAATTTTCTTTGTACACCACTCAATGGCAAATGTTCCCAAACCGTCTATTTCAATACTTTGCACTGCATTATAGTATGCATGCACGAGTTAAATAAGCCTTGACAATCAATCAATATGCTCAGAATGCATCATGCACTCCATTGTAGCTGTTCATAGTGGTGTTACCTCGTATGTCTCCACACCGAAGCGGACGAGTAAAATGTTTTCATGACCAGCAGGAATTATGGACGGACTAACAACAAAACCAAGGTTGCTGTGTAAACACTATCTAACATATAATATATAAATATTTCTAAAATACATTCTAGTTTTTCCAATACATGTCTACACCATACTACTAATAAATAAGAAAAAGAGTTTTTGTGCTTTATTGTTCTCACACACACACACACACACACACATCTACTGAAGAATATATGCTTCTGGGTTCAGTCAGGGTTTCACTGCCTTTGACGGCTTTAAGACTGTGAAAAAACCCCAGTGCAGCAGATAAGATTAGTCCAAAAGGTGTTGTACCATGTGTATGGTATTTGTGTGCATTTCTACTTAGTAGATGTCAGGCAGGTGACTGTAGTTCCTGTCCCAGTAGCCTTTCAAGTAGAGCCAGTCCTGAGCTTTGTTATGAGGGTTGGGTCCTTGCTGAAACCACCTGCAGAGGTTTTACAAAGAGAAAACAAAATTAGACAGAATTTAGAACACTGATTCATGACAAGGTGAACTTGTACCCAACACCAGTATCTCCATGAGTACCAGTGTCTTGACATATGCATTCAGTAACACACAGTTGCAGTTGTGTATTTTGTCCTGAGGAGGGTGGTGTAGTGCAGCACTTCACACCAGAGAAATCCACAGCAACAAAACAAAGCTTAGAACCAAACCTTGGGCCAAGTGCAGCGTTCCTTCTCAAGTATAATAATGGGGACGGCATAGTTGGTAGCACAAGACAATAGGGAGGACATTAGTAAAAACAAATTAGCAATTGGGCAATTACGTTACATCATGTTACTACTCAGTGACTAACCTTGTTTTCCATTCATCTGTTGATTTGTTGCGATTTTTCCGGGCCATTCTCTGTTTTTCCTCCAGTCTCTTCTTCTCTGCACTTGCCAAATCTATAAAAAAGGTATGATATATAAAGTTGAATACCACCAGAGGTAGTATTTAAGATGGTCTTGCGTACTAGGGACTCAAATCAAGGTCATACACTGTACCTATATCTCCATTCTCCATGGCGCGAATGTCAGGTCTGAGGCGACTATCTGTTGGGGGAATAACTCCTTCCATGCTCTTCTCCAGCTCGTTTAGGTGCATGGCGAATGTGGAGAATGCATAGAACTGTCAGAGATAGGATGCAATGAGCAGGTGGCAAGAACATGAAGCAACAAAATAACACAAATGCCTCATCTCCAGCTACTATGCATGATCTTTCTTATTCAAAAATGTACAAATTCTTCTCTTTCCACCCCTTTCTGTCTTCTCGCACCTTGGCTGAGTTGTCAGGTCGAGGCGTTATCTTCCAGATGAGCTCGCTGCCTGGGATGACCTGGACTGTCTCGGCATCAGGTGGAGGCATTTCTTCTGGTTCCTCATCCACACTGCTCTGGAGCCACATAGATGAACACACACAAGCTCAAGTTTAACTTGAATCAAACGGAGATAGAACATTCGTGATTTTTAAAAGCAGTCAAATTTAATACCTGTTTATTGCCCTTTTTTTCCTCTGAATTCTTTCTGTCAGTCTTTTTGTGGGCATCGAATGTAGTAGAGTCTACTGTGTACAGGCATTCAGTCCATTTGCCATATATCGCACAGAGCTTCTTTTTGCTGCAACCACACAAACAAATGTTAATAAAACTTTAGATACATCATCACTGAGAAAACACACAGTAAAACTCAGATCATATAAACTGTTATGCTGCTATGACATAAGGTAATTAACAATGTAGTAATTTATGACGAATTTACATTCTTTCAGGCTGTATTAAACATCGGATGAATAATTAAATTATTGCTAATTAAAAGGCCGTCAATACCTTTTATCTAGGATGTATCCCTCCACTTTATGGAGCTCTTTTCCAAAGAGGCCACAGGGCTTGAACGTCATGCTGCATCTCTCTCCGGTCCTACCACAGAATGACAGACTGTTTAACAATTCTCTTTCACTATTCTCCTTCTACGAGCTGAGCCTCTCAAACATTAATTATACTGCTCTTCTATTCCAACGGCAACTGTCCCAGTTCTGCTCCCATGATCAATACGCTGAATCTGAAAGTAGATCAACACTCGGAAGAAAGAAAGAAAGAAAGATATTCATGCACCCTAGTCTCCGTGCCTGCAAATGCACTGGGTGAGCATGCATTTGCAGGCAAACAGGACAGCATAAAGAGAAGGGGATTTCTTTTACTTGTGATTGAGCACTTCCACGTTGCCATACTGCTCAATCCAAAGCTGACCAACAATGATATTGTGGACACAACAAATGGGGTTTGTCCAAGTGTAGGCTTCGTTATATCTGCAGAGACAAAGCAGAAAAAAGGTAAAGACAAAAGTAACATAAGCTGGCGCAAACCTCCAAAAAAGGAATCAAATCAGACAATTCAGACTGTGCACTCACTTAGGCAGCTCCAGTGTAATGAGTCCCTTGGGCTCAGCTTCTATGCACTTTCCCCAAAACTTGAGTTTGGGGTAGATGGAGCCATGGAAGACAAAATCCTCCTTGAGGCCCTCAGCTTGAAAGGCACTGACTGGAGGGTGATGGCTTACTTGCTCTGACACCCACCTGAAGCCCAGATCGTCTCTAATGGGAACAGTGACATGAAATTTCAGGACTGTCCACAAAAAAAAAAAAAGAAAAGTTTGTGTCCAACATCCTACCTGATGAGCTCATAGGTCTCCCCCAGTAGTGGGTTGAAGGGTTTCCCAGTCCTTTCCCACTGCGATGCTACGGCTGACACAGCGAATGCTGCAACACACTACAGAGAATTGGCTTATGACTAATTCAATATTTAATAATGATAGAACATCATTATCAATAACTATTGAGTCTATGTTTGTAAACGTGGAAACTGTGGTACCTTCATCCTCTCGATAGAGTCTGTGGTGGCATTGGCCTGGTGGATGAGGGAGGTGTGCTCCATGTATTCTGTTAACCGCTGGAGGAAACTCAGAGGCTCATTAAATATAACAGGCATGGCAATCTTTGACAACTCCTGAAAAAGATGTTGGAGAAGATGAAAGAAACAGTGAGGACTATTGCATGGGGAGTTGGTGGGGTCCATTTCTAATGAGTTATCAGTAGCATGTGCAGCTCTAAAATCCAGTTAGATTCATTACAACAGAGCTAAATGCCATCTTTCTAGAGCATCTGTACACAACTCAATCCAGTGTTTTGGTGGTGTTGCCAACTGACATTATTCTGTATGTTCTCACTTTAAACTGTAATATCTGAGGTTTAATGTAAAGCTACAGGCAGTGGTTTACAACCATAAGGATGTGGAGAAAACAATCACAGGGCTGCACTCTTCAACACACTTTATACATACCCCATGTGTGTCTGTATATCTATTGCCTGTCCACTGAATTGCGTATGCATGAATCATTAGCCACATTTAATTGGGGAATAAAACATTAATAGACATTATTATATGTAATTAAATCCAGGCAGGGGCTGAGTGAGGACTGAGATCCCTGAGGACTCCAAGACAGTGATACTAATGACTATATTCCTAAAGCCACCAGAAGTTAAGGTAGAAGTACAAAAACTAATTAGTCACTGTTGCCTACATTTTTCACTTGAGTTTGGTCTTGAGGTAAAAAGAATATCTCAAGTCAGCGCTCATTTTCTCTAAATAGCAAATAGCACAAAAAAAAAAAAAATCAGTTTGAGGAGAATTATGTGTCCTCACCATGCCGATGCATTTTTTCAGGATACTCCAGATGCTCACGTCATTCCTGGAGAACATGGGAGCCGGTAAACATGCTCTGTGGGACAGCAGTATAAAGAGAAAGAGAAACGCTGTCAAATATGGGAGAGAATTAAAATAATGAGGATGATTGTGCCTATATCCTGTGCCAAAACATCCATCTACCTGTATATGCAAATACAAAAACGTTTCAACTCTATATTGATGGGAAATCATTGTTTATTTTGTCTCAGGTGTGCAATTTATTGCAGGCAAACGCTGACGTCTGAGAGCATGTGATGTCCTCTCTTTCACACTCAAAATGATTTACTATTTTAATATTGCACTGAGCATGAGTTAAATACATTAAAACCATTATTTTGTCTACAGCTGAGAGCGTGTACTATTTGGACGCTGCAGAGCAGAAAACATAGCTTGAACCACCATTTGGGAACAAAGTCATCTGACACCTGTAAGCTAATGAGCTTTCAGCTGGTCTGGTCAAGCCTCATGCAATACCAATGAATGGATGTACAACTGCATGTGTTGGTTTTCAAGACCGGTTATAAAGACATAAATAGACTAAGTTCTTAAATTGGTCTTTTCACATATGAAGCTCGGCTCAAAAACACTCACTTTTACAAGATAATCACATTTGCACACCATTTAGATTCATTATGACCAAACATTTGCTTTGTTACTTGGCCAGATCTGGTATGTTTATCTTTCAGCCTTGCTGGAGGGCTCAACTGTAGTGAGGACTGTAGTGAGGACTGTTTCACAGGTATGCTGGCTGGAGGCAGATGGTCTCCTTGTTTAAAATTGAGTGCTAAAGCAACTATACAAATAAAAGCCATTACTTCAGCTAAATAAACAGAGCGGTGGGGATGGGGGTTTGCTCCATCTGTAGGATGAGCAGAGCACTGATGCATGGCAGAGTATACCTTCTAGCCTAGTTTGTGTTCCATCAGCCTCGGCCCCAAAAATTTATTTTTAGATAGAGGATTTTCTTTCCTTGGACGTTTATAAAAAAACAAACACAATAAGGGGGATTTTCTGTTCCAAAGTACATGTCTGAAGATTTGCGGGCCCTGTAATTTTTTGGCTGTAGAACAACCTGGAAGTGACGTGGGATTTTCCATACACGTGTACATGCTAAATCAATACTTGCACTTTTTACAGTCAGCACTGTCTATAGTTGTGCTGTAACAGTCTTCAAATCCTTTTTTTTTTTGTTGTTTTTTTTTGTTTAAATAAACATACAATTCCAATACTGTATAAAACATTTTTTGGAGAATTTACGATGTGGTAGGGTGTCGTTAAAGAAAGGTAAAGAGTGAGAGAAACGTTAGACAACGAGACTTAGGACCATCTACAGGCAACCGGGGACAGACGTATCTTTGAATGACAGGAGTAATTCCAAATAAACAGACATCTCATAAATTTTTAATGCACAACACACACACACACCCATACATACACACACAGAGCTAGCCAGCCAGTCAGCCAGTCCCCTTTCCTCCAACTCCTACTCCGAGCCAGCACATGCTAAATTATTCATGGCTCACTTGTTGGATTAAGGAAGAGGGGCCAGGCCAGAATCAGCATCCACGGAAATGAAAGATTTTCAAATCTTCAGGAAACCACCACCACCACCACCACCCCCACCCCCACCAAAACACCAAGCGCTATGTTGATTGTTCGCATGGAGAGTTGGTTCTGGTAGGAAAAACAAAACAGGCTATTCTCGGTGGATTGGGTGCTCAAACAAAAACACCTGACTACAAAAACAGACTGAGTGTGAGAGTGGAAAGGTGGTATCTCATTACACCAACTCTGCCATTTACTCTCCCATCCTCTTGCTGACTGAGACCTGCAACCTGTCATCATACACGCGTACTTAAAAGCCAGATGTACGATACGAGTTGCTCAACAATGTAAAAGTTATATTCTACTGATTCCTGCTAGCAGCTGTGGTAATTATCTTAAATGAAGCCTTGTACATAATAAACAGTGAATGGGTCGTCTGGAGAGCACTCGGCATGGCTGACATTACATTTCCACTCGTCTCTTTCCCATCATTTAAGCCAGTAAACAAGCATGACATCATATAACTGGAGCGTGTCCCACCTGTGCTTCTTGACTCCATTGTATTGGGCTGGTTGGTTGCCATGGTCACCCTCCCCTGACATTCCGGTAGGCCCCCTGAGTGCGCTGGGATGGCGGAGGCTGCTGAGAAGGGGGGTGTCTCTCCCCTCGTCCTCTTCACAGGACTGACTGGCCACAGACAGGAAGCCGCTCACTGAGAGCTCCGACTCCGACTCTGTGGGATGACAACGGGGGCCAGATGCCAGATCATGCCAAGTGTGCCAGGTCAACACTCAAATACACATACGAGTTTGAGTGGCCTGGCTCCGAGAAGCTGCAGCCTGAACAACACACTGTCCGCAAATAAGCACTTGTGATCGAGTTCCGCTCCAAACTCCCCCTCCCTGCTGCCAGCCAAACCCCACCTGAGGATTGTGTTCCAATGAGAGGCAACACAGGCTTCATTTCCTCCAACATTGTTTGCTCTGTGCTTGCTGGATGCTACTCCTCCCCTAGCCAGCACTGTCAGTGACAGTGCAGGTACATAAATAAAGGGAGGAGAGAACAGTGTGATATTTGTATAAGCTAGTCTGAGTTATGAGTGCTTATTGTAAGTGCCTGTACTTGTATACTGAGTAATGTGTTGACAGAAATTTCAATTTCAGACAGATGCATGGCTGTACCATATGCACTGCGTTGATGGTGGCAGCAGATACAACACAGCTTCATACATTTCCTCTGTATAAACAAAAACACGTGGTTGGGTTTTACACACTCAACTTGGCATTTGTGAACATTCTCATATATATGCTGAGCACAGCTCGGAGTCTACGGGCAGAGTGTCTCTGGCTAGTAAATAACTCAGGGCTATCTATGAATAATGCAATGATTCCTGAGAAAGATTGGCCCAAAGTGCACAAACATTTTGTAGAAGGAAGTCTATTGTGCAAATTCACTGTGGCATGCCTTTTAAGCATACGACGCAGCAAACTGTACGATCCACAGACAATACTGTACATGGTAAACATACAGGGTAGTAAACAGTCTCAAATCATCTCTTTTAACTACTGATGAATTATACTTGTTGTCTGGGCAATCTCAGAGACTGACAGAGTGCCAATGGACTGTCACTGGGTACAACCACACACACGCTCATTTTTCTGTAATTAAAGTGACAACTGTATGTAAATACAAATCCTAAAAGATGCCCTGTGGAGTTATCTTCCTCATAAAACATTTTTAATGTTTAAAACTATATGTTTGACATCCATGTTCGAAAGCTTGCACTCTTCTTTCCTTTTTTTTGCACTTCACAGCAATCAGCAGTCAAGCAGCAGAATAGTGTGAAACCAACAGCATGCTAACAACAACTCACTATTACTTAACATGCAACTTAATAGTAGAAAAATTACCAGTGAAGAAAATATTCCAGATATGTTTGACATCCAGATAATGCTTGAGACTTAAATTGTCCAATTTATGACCTGGCCAAGACACTGTATGAGGACATAGCCCCCATTAAAATGGTGACCTCTTGATTACTTCACTAACTGTCCACCTTGGGGCTGCTGACCTGACACAGCGTCATAGAAGTCATCTTCAGTGAGGGTACTGAGGGCAGACAACCTTCTGGTCTTACACAGGGACTGCTTGAGTTCGTGGTGATCAGTTGCCAATGTCCGCAGAGCCTCTGTCAGAGCTTTGTTCTTCTCCACCTCCTGCTCTAACTTCAGACTCCACACCTGCAAACACAGGACCACTGGACAGATAAAGCACACAAGCAAACCCCACAGACATGCTAAAGTAAATGAAGAGGATATGCTCATATATATATATATATATATATATATATATATTTTGATCCAACATGAGTACAATACGGACAGTGTTGGCAAATTTATGACTGACTGATGGTCTGATTAATACGGAGGTATTGATCTGCTTTTGTTGCTGCCACAGTGTCTGTCGCTTTGTGGTTCTGATGGCAGGTCATTGTTCTGACCCTGCCCACAGATCTGGTTTCCTCCAGTCGGAACCAAACACCTCAGTCTCCGAGAGCTCTGTAGCCCAGGATTGAGTGTCCCTTCAGAGCAACCTGAGCCAGGCCACTGTAGGACAGACTATATCAGTGTTTCCTATTGTCTATTGCTGCTGTTATGTGTCTTTTACTAACTAAACAGAAGACAGGCAACTAAATAAAAATCCACAGATGCTACCAAGAATTATATAGAATAAGATGATGGCTATAACAAGATTTTACTTGAAAAATAAAAACTTTAAAAAGGACACTTATGAACTCAAATGCATTTTAAGTACTATAAACAGACCCAAAAAAGCATCCACAAAGCAAAGAAAATGCACTGAATGCTTATAGAAAAGGAGCATGGCCTCCATGGTTTAGAAAAAGTCACCTTGAGGAAGGAAGCAGAGTCTGAGAGAAACAAGAGCTTGTAAATCACACTGTAAATCTGAGACCGCAAAGCAGAGCCAATGTCTTCTATTAAAGACGAAAAGTTCACCCTCATCCCTTATAGTGCCTGAAGTATTATCAGTTATGTGCACAGCCATGCACAAAGGAGCACCTGTCATTGCATCTGCTGATGTGCTCAAGAGGGGTCATAATTCATGCCTGTAAGTGTATCTGTGACTCACCAGTTTCCTGGTATATATATAATATGTGGCTCTAGCCATTATGGGAACAATGTTTCAGTGACCGCCATGGAGATCGTATGTGATCAACAAGGTCAAAAAAAAATATTTTGGTGGTATTCTATTCTAAAATATTGATCATTAAAGAAATACATGTGAAATACACCCTATTGCCTGCCATTTTGTTTAAATAGTGCTAATCTCTTCTAAGACGTGCTTAAAATCATAATACAATACATAATATACAGTATATAGATAATGGCAGGGAACATAAACAGCTTCAGACTCTGGAGATCACACATGATGGATGGGACAGTAATAACAGAGTGACATATTTATCCATTTGCAGATTTGTTTTTTCATATCAGCAAACTACAAGGCTGCTGATCCAGCCACTTTGAATGAATATTGATTGATTCCAATCCATTCATATTCAATTGGAGCACCCCTAATACCAGCTAAGGGTTTATTATGTAAATAAAATGAATTACATAATGTAAACCTAATTTCTTCTGTGCCCAAGACTTGACTCAGCAAAACTTCATTACACATACAAAGCAGAAAGGTGAGAATGACTCCTGTGCAACAATATGTAGATCCTAAAACAGAGCAAAATATAAAACCTCCGATTAGAACTTTTTAAGCAACATTCAACTTATCATCCCGTTTTTTACAAATACACAAATCTGCTGTAGCTAGAACGCCACAATCGCACTTGTTATCCATGATCACTTTATATAGACCTGTATGCCTTTACTTGTATACTTGAAAACCAGACAAAGTACTGCACATGCATCTGTGACAGAAGGTTCTTTCACACAAGGTCTCACACCCACAGTCAAGGGCAAACTTCACACCTTTGCTCTTGCTGTCATCACACTTACTATACTGTATGCTCAGCCCCTTTAGGAAATTTTTTGTGAAGACAGGAATACAGTATCACTTTAGATGTGCAGATTCTGTTGCTTCTATACAGAAAGAGAAAAAGTTGTGTTTCTGAGACAATTCATTGAAAAGTTAATGCTAAGGAAAACACAATTTAAACAAAATGTGGTCGGAAGGCCAGTGTCATCTAAAATGTTTTGTGCTGTGATTATCAGCCAATTTGCCAAAACATGACCTTGAACATGCGTCCAATCAGAAACAGCAATAACACACTCTGGCACTGGCTAATTAAACCCATTTGACATATCATGAGTGTCCAAAAAAAAAGGATTGTCCTTGTGAGCTCCCGCAAGCATCTTTTTAAATGTATTGTGGCACATAAATGAGCTCGCTGTGTAGAATGTTAACACTCCCTGTCCCAGGCACTTGGCTTAAGAGCCCAGCCAGGGACAGAACACTTTGTTGTGTAACTATCCCAGCCATCTCTTTCGCTCTCGCTGCATCCTCTCGCCTGAGCACAAACCACGCTATTTTAAGCTCTGCTGAGGCTGTGTGCAGTAGCTGTTGCTGAAGCCTGGGAGGGAAGCTTCTCCTTGGCCAACACCCCAAAGGGTAGAGCTTTTACTTTGTTCTAAAATTTGTTTTTTTCTCTGCTGAAGGGGAAGCAAATCTCAGAGGCAAATCTATTATAGCTCTATACAGTACTCTGTAGCTGTAACTATATGACGATGACGACTGGGAGCGCAAAAAAAAAAAAAAAAAAATGATATGAGCGTGACGTAAGCACCGGCGCAGCAAATAAATGCTGTAACCAATTACACAGAAATAATTTCAGGTACCTCTCTATACATACATACATACCCTTGGCTTAAAAAAGTTCAGAAAAAGAAGGTTTTATAGACACTTCCTCCTCTTATACAGATCTTGTGTGACCCAACAAAGATCGAAGTCAGCGCAGGGACATACAAGAACATTTAGCTGCGCCTAGAGAAGCCTCTCCTGGGTGAGAGATGACAGTCAGTAGGTCAGTTTACCCATATGGTGATGGTTTAAGTAAAGGTCAAACGGTACTTTGTGTTCCCACCAGTCCCTGAGGGTTTTAAGGGCAATCGGCTTTCTTATAGACTGTGGACAAAAACATTTAAGAAAAAAGAAAAGATACTATGCTGTCATTTTCCTGCCTTCAGAGCAATACAAACTGACAGATCTGCTTATCTGCGTGTCACCACTAAGTGGTTTCATGCTGTAAGCCTCCATTTGTTTTCTTGACAGGTGTGGAAGCCTGCTGCCTAGGTCGGGCTTATAAATCTGTGTGTGTTACTGTCACAACCCCCAAGAGAGTTTCTGCCCAGAACTGTCTCTATGCTGCTCGATCTTCGTGACAATGTTCTTGTAAAGAAGCAAAGTTAGCAGCACACATCTCTCAACTTTAAATACCAAGAACCAACCATTCATACTGTGCCCTGCACGTCCTGTATAAATGTGCTAATCTCTCTAACATACTTTATTCCTGCAGCATCTGCTGAAATGGGTCAGACCACATATATTCTGCTGAAGGGTAACTGTAATTGCTGCAAAAACTATTTTACATCTGCCCAGACATCAAAGCACAGTTACGACAGCATGTGAGTACTGCATGTTATGTACTTCAGGAAACAAACGTGTAAGTGGCAGCAAATGGAGGCATCTGGGGTGGGACAATGGAAATGTGGGATTAGAGTTAATACTGCCTAATACAGGCAATCTCAGCAGTGTAGGAAATATAATCCTGTTAGTACACGTAGTAGCACCAGCTTAGCTCGAGACCAATCGATGTAACATGCTTGTTAAGACATTTTCTTCTTATTTTTTTGTCAGAAATGAACCCAGTGTCCATTGTTCTGACACAATGCTTCCTGGGTGATGAGACTGCAATGAATGTTCTCAGACCTGTGATAACAATGCCAGGTTATTCCTTGTGACAGGACAGCAGCTGTTGCCAATTCATACTAAGATAATGTGGTTTGGCAATGCACACATCACTGTGTAAACATAATGCATTTGGAGCATTGTTGTGCAGTATTATGTCCAGCTGACTTCCAAAGCAGGATTTTACAGTATCAGATGTGGAATTAATTCAGTTATCTTCACAGTATTATACAAAACCACACATGTAGACACAGGAGTCCTTAACTGCGTCTTAATATAGATATAATCTTAACTGCTTCTTTGCAGATGATTTTACAATGAGAGTTGCAGTGCACACCATACTATAATCAGCAATGAGTAGACACAGTTTCAACATTTTAGTGTGGTATTGTGAGTGCCAATTTAAAATTAATAGTAAAATATTAATAATTAACAGTAATGTAAATCACAAAAGAACTACTGCTGCGTTAAAATGGTGAGACCCACACTCTTTTATCTTAAAAGCTTAAATTTCAGAATCACCATATCAAATAAGTCCTCCCATGTTTTCACTTTGACAGAATTCCTTACATTATAAATTGATCTCATTAAAAAAGGTGCAACGAGCTGTGCAGCGTTTAGTACCACTTCAAACATGTTCAATTTCACACTCTAAACTCAAATCGTCACATCCATAGGAATTACCGCCGCATATTAATGAATAGCTTTCGCCTATGCCAACGCTTCAGGCCAGCAATCATATCTACAAAACGCTAAAACATCAGACTAAATCTAATCTGTGCCAAACTTCAAACACCTTACGCTAAGTCAAAATGGAACAGCACGTTGCAAACACAGCCAGTTTGCTTAGCTGACAATAAAGAACAATGAGATACAAGAAGACAAGAAGTGTGTGGTTTGTACCTGTGCAGATACTGGATGAGAGTGCCGTCACTGTCTCTTCTTCCTTCTGCGCTCGGATGCTCTGGCATGTGGAAGTGTGCCTGCGAGCGTGTATTTTCACTGTGTGAGGGTGAATGCATGTATCTCCAGCTGAGCCTGTGAATATGCACGCGCTTCAGTTCCCTCGCTCAATGCACAGCCTTTCCCTAGAGCGGGAGTGTGTGGATCCAAGTCCAAGGGTGTGTGTGTGTGTGTGTGTGTGTGTGTGTGTATCCCTCTT